ACTTACGGCTGCCTGAGGTGGTGTGGGTCATTATGCAGTTCAACTAGCGAAGCTTGGAAACATGCACGTTACAGCCACATGTGGGGCACGAAATATGGATTTGGTGAAGAGCTTAGGGGCCGATGAAGTCCTCGACTACAAAACTCCAGAGGGGGCAGCTTTGAAGAGCCCATCTGGCCAGAAATATGATGCAGTTATTCACTGTGCCGTGGGCTTTCCTTGGTCTACTTTTGAGCCTAATTTGAGCGCGAATGGGAAGGTAATAGATATCACTCCTGTCCCTAGCGCCTTGCTGACTTTTGCTTTCAAGAAACTCACCTTCTCAAAGAAGCAGCTGGTGCCGCTACTTATGATACCTAAAGCTGAAAACCTGGATTATCTTGTTAAGTTGGTGAAGGAAGGGAAGCTTAAGTCCGTGATTGACTCAAAACATCCTCTGAGCAGGGCAGACGATGCTTGGTCTAAGAGCATCGACGGTCATGCCACCGGGAGGTCATCGTGGAGCCTTAAAATATTTTATGTTAAATTGCACATCTTGTCCTTGTGTTCCTAAATAATAGGGTAAGTATGTGAATCATGTAAAGACAGATAAATAGCTGCTCTGAAAGAAGATTTTTAGTGATATGCGGTTCTGCACTTTGTGCTTTATAGTCTTAAATGACAAGTATTTTGAAGTTCAAATCAGGTATCTTTCATTATGACTTGTGATCATAATCATGTTCATTTGAAGAATGTTTTTATTTGCCTGAAATAGTTAGACATTAAGCAATATGTGATAAGTAGAACTTATGTTATATTTGGATTTGAAATTTAGAAGAAATTTAGCTTTGAATTACATTTTCTCTATTATGCGAACATAACCCCTTGGTAAAAACAGAATAACTAGTGAAGTCCAAAAACTTTTAATTTAGTTGGGCAACACACTCATTTTCCTCGAAGTCAATATTGTCCAAATCACATGCCATAAAATCATCGTTTTTATTTAATGTCCTTTCAATGTGAATACTTAATTTACTTATCCAACAATAATACCATCGTATTTAATTTTAATGAATAATCAAAGCTATTTACCATAGGTACTACAAAGAATGTTTACGGATGAGAACATATGACAAGTTGATTAAGACAATAAATTTCAATAAATTGTAGAGGTTACTTATCAAATTTTTTGGACGGGTTTTGGCATGGTTATGAATGGGCAAGTTAGTAAATGGATCAATAACTTATTATGAACCCATTTATGGCGGTTCATAAATGGGTTGGGTGTTAAATGGGCTAATCAACCCACACTCAACCCGATGACTCGAATATTCTTAAACCCAAATTGTCAAATTATTTTGATTGTCAAATACCAACAACAAAAAAATTTGTTCCTATAGCAATTTTTCATTCATTTTTTGGTTTCCAACATTACAATTTTTTATTTTTATTTATTATTATTATTATTATTTTTTTATAAAAAGTCACACACACACACACACACACTCACATATATAGAAAAAGGGCATATATATAAAAAAAATTTTAAGAGCAAAAGAGAAAAGAAAGAAAAATTAAAATTTGAATTTGATTCTTTCAAATTTAAAAGAAAGAAAATATATGAGCTTTAATATTGTCGAGGGAAATTTTCTAGCCATTCACGAGATGCCACATGTCAGCAAATCAAACAATAAGGCCAAACCATATATGTCGGGCCAGAGAAAGAAGCTTATAGCATTACGGCCCGGCGGGAAAATGTCCGGTACCAAAATTGGCCCAAGGAGCAAGACTAGCTCCAATAAGCCCAATCCAAGGTTACAACCAAATACAACTGGAAGTAACACCCATCAATAAATTGCAAAAAATCATGGGAAGGTTAAGACTATTTATGTAACGGCCCTAAAGAATCCTCATTACAATAATTATAACTACAGAGGGCAAGACTGTAATGTTTCTGTTTTTCGCCATTTTTCATTTTTTAGGATTTTTTGTTTTTGCAAGGGCATTTTTGACTTTTCTCGTTTTACGTGCCGGACATCGTGGGGTGTGCTGGGTGTGTCTGAGTGTTGCGTGGGACATTTCCTTGAGTTTAGAACTCTTGAAAATGTATCGGTGGCCATTTTGGCATTTTTTCGTTTTTCAGACCTGAAAGTCTCGGGTGGGACCGTTATTGGGGTAGTTGTGTACGGGGGTTCCGTCACGGGTTCATGGCATTTCATGCATAATTATTTTGTGCATAATTTCATTGTATAAGTCAATTTTGTGGTTGGAATTTGATGCGCGCACACACACACACACACACACACATATATATAGATATAAGAAAATGTGAGATATTTTAATTAGTGGGACCCACCACCATTTTTTTTTTTTGATTATTAGTGGCCAAGAGGCCATCACTTTGGCCTCATTTTTCTCCTCTTCCCGGCAGTCTCTCTCTCCCATTTTTTTCTTCTCTTTTTTTTCTTTTTTTTTTCCTTCAAAGCTTCAAGCTTTGATTAATCTTCAACCTTTTGGAGTTTGTTAATGCCGTTTGCTGCAAATTGGAGAGCTCGTTGAGATCATCGATTTGATCGGAGCGAAAAGTATTTTTGGTGCATCTTGGGATTTTCGAATTAGGGCTTGGATTTGGGGAAATTGGGGTGTTTCTTCAATTAAGAGGTAGGGGTTTCTAATACGCGATTTCTTCCTCCTTTGTGAATCATTCTTCCTGATTTATCGACTAACATGCTTAACTTTGTGTAGATTTCATGTAAGATTGCTTAATAGTTGTATATGAAATGTGTGACTATGTGTTAATTAATAATTGATCATAAAGTTTGCCTATATGGAATAATTTCATGTTTTATATGCTTACCATATTAGATTATTGTTGAATGAAAGCATATTTTTTTTTTAAATTTCTTATAAAGCATACTAAGTGGTTTAACCTTGAATTTAGATGTATGATGATAAATAATGGCATGGCATAAAAAGCATGAAGCATCCATGCACTTCATTGGAAAAGAAATGAGAAATTGGTTTTTGAAAGAAATGAAATGGGTTTTGAGGAAAAGTTTTGAAAGGGTTCGCGTAAAAACCCGGCCGCTTAAGAGTTGCCTAGGGACCGTGGTGTTAGTGTGGCCTAGAGGGGACTGGGGATAGCGCCTTAGCGTGGTTGAGTTACCTGGCCCCCAAATGAGGCCATGGAGTTGCCATGGGTCAGGGACAATTAGCCAATCCTCCTCTCGTGCCACCATGGAATTGCCATGGACGGGTTTCACTAACGGTTTGGAAATGACGATAGAAAAGGTTTTGAAAAATGGGAAGCGACATTACATGACATTGCATCCCATTACATGATACGATTCGTTACGATTTTGACTCGTGATTGTTAATATTGTTGCTATGTTTATTCCCGACATGACATGATCCTGTTTTCTTCATTTCTATTTATTGTATGGATTCACGGGGTCATAAGAGGTGTGTCTTAGGCACCTCCTATTGATCCACTGTGCTTACCCCTTTGTATTAACATTTTTCTGGTCACGAAAAGGAGGTGGTGGATGACAATCCGCCACAAGCTTGAAGGCGGGTTGAATTTTACATTTTTACTGTCTTTTGTATTTTAGCCCATTCTTTTGTAAAGCCTTAACCTAAAAATGTATCCATTTGAAAAACTTACTGTAAACTATAACTAAGGCATCTCTATAGTAGTTTGATGTAAACTTGAGACTATGTAAATATTTTATGTTGAATGGGATAATGATGTTATATTTTGAGTAAACTATTGATGTTTATATCTGCATAATGTTGTATATTTTTGCCGTGAATTCGGGATTTGGTTGTGTATTAGGTCTTGTGCAGGTTGGCTCATAATGAGTTTAGTCCTTTTGGTGTTATTTGCTCCAGATAGCAGCTTCCCAGGCCTGTCGGCCGGCTGACAAGGATTATCAGTCGGCTGACAGTGCACATTTTGGCACTCCAGATAGCTGTATCCCTAACATCATTTCGGCCGGCCGAACCTCTTTATCAGCTGACCGAAACACCTCCTTTAGTCGGCCAAAACTTATTTTCAGTCGACTGATGAACCCCTTTTTGGCAAGTCTTGAGAGTTTGCAAATTGAAGGATCGTTTCAGTCAACTAATTATCTTAGTCAGCCGGCTGATCATGCACTTTCAGCCGGTTGACGAAGGGCCATTAGCCGACTGATCATGTCCTTTGACCTGTACCTTTGACCCTCTTCTTCTAAGCTGTAATTCTGGAACACCTTGGACCTAGTAATGAATCGAATACTACCTAAGAGCACAGGAAATGACGATTGTACCTTTAGTTGACCTTGGGTTCGGGTAAGGACCTGGTTAACTGTTTGGACCCACGGGTTCGGGTCGTTACAAAGTTGGTATCAGAGTGACGGTTTGAAAACCATTAAGATGATGGGTAGAGGCTTACCTAGGGTTGTCTGGGAAGTCATTTGCATTGTTATTTGATTAATTGCTAAAGTGATTCGCTATTTGAAGAATCATGCTTAGCTGTCTACTTGCTTACGTGCTTATATGTTTATGTTTATGTTTATGTTAATATGTTTATTACATAGCTTTGTATGCTTAGTGTTAGTATTTTATCATTTCGTGTTGAGTCATTCATGTGAGAACGTCGTTCTCGGGTGGACCTCCGTGTTATCGTTATTGAACCGTTTTCTCGTTTTATAGTACGATACCACCGCGAAAGGAACCAAGGGGAGTTGGCACTAGGCCGACAAGGGGTGATGTTTGTGAAAGCTCAAGTTGATGAGGATACGCTTCTTAGGGACTTGATTCCCCCAAGAGGTGTTCCTACTGGAAAGGATAATGTTCAGACGCCCATTGAAGAGGTCGAAGGTTCTGTTGAGCTCGCACTAAATCGCTTGTTACAGAATGCTTTGAGGGCTACGATTGCTTCTCTTCTACAACCGGTACCACAACAGGTGATTTAGGTAAAGGAGACAACAACATAGAAATGTCTCAAGTTGATTTCGTGGTTTTCGAAGTTGATGCCAATGATGTTTGAAGGTGGTGCAGATCCAATGGTAGCAGACGACTACTTGGACCAAGTGGAAAGCCACTTGACTTCTATGGATGTGATGGATGATCATCTGAAAATCATCCTGGCCACTTACAAATTTTCCAAGGACGCCAAGCTTTGGTGGAAGTTGGTTACTAACCAGCACAAGGTCGAGGACATGAGTTGTGATATGTTTAGGGAGTTATTTTATGAGAAGTATTTTCTGATTACCAAGAGGTGGGAGCTAAGGAAACAGTTTGATGATCTCATACAAGGCAATATGTTAGTGACGAAATATGAAAACAATTTCACTTTTCTTTCTCGCTTTGTCCCAGAGATATTGAGAAATGAGGTTGATAAGACACGAAAGTTTGTTTTCGGCCTTCATTACCAAATGAGGTCATTGATCACATCACAGTACTTTAAAGTTTATACAGAGGCAGTGGAAAGGGCATTAATGCTAGAAGCGGAAGCAAATGATAGAAATGCATGAAGGGAACAATGGAAGCAAAACAGGAATACAGGATTATCTTTAGAGGGGCCATCATGGAAGAAGAATAAGGGTGGTTTGTCTCAGTTTTAGGGACAGTAGTCTGCACGATCCCCTCCTACTACCCCTATGCCAACAGGGTCTGCTAGGAGTGGTGTCGTCTGCTAACGATACTATCAATCGGGTCACTACAAGGCAGAGTGTCCACAGACATTTGTTAATTCAGGTGCATGTTTTGGTTGTGGCCAACAAGGCCATAGGGTTAAGGATTGTCCGAATCAGGGAGCTGGCACAGGTAGTGGCAAAGGGTCACAGCAGAGGCCATCACAGTCGGCTACAGCTTAGTTAGGTTTCAGACGATCGCCGCCACTACAGCCTGCCATGTCTTTGCAGGGTTCAGGACCAACTAGGAGAGATACTCCTATTATGTCAGTGCAACAGTCAGGTGTTCAGGTTGATAGTTCTTGTCTGTTCTGACGGTCGATGCGAGTAAGGCTCATGTGAGTGTAGAATTGCAATTCTTATCTGGTAGAGTGAGCCGTGGGCCAGGGAGGCAACGTTTCATTTCCTTTTCCTTCATGGCTTTTAGATCTAAGGCCTTAAGCGTAATGGTGCCAGTGTCATTATTGTCAGAGTTTTGGGATTAGCTACCCCAACTCTCGTAGGTGCCTAGTTCCCGCATTACTTTTGGTAATGATCATTTCTAACATTGATGTCATTTGTATTGAAAAGTTTCCGGGGGCACGTTATGAACTAGTGCCTTATACTGTCATGCTACCTTACTGATGAGTAAGTGTGGGCGGGTTCTGGTTGCTGTTCGTACTACTTTGCCACTCTCTTCTTTCACCGCGTTTTGACGTGTCGTTGTCTTGGGATTCTTTCGGTGGTTGACGTTGAGTTAACGTGCCGATTTATATGAGGTGTTGTCTCAGTTCGTGTTTCGCGTTCCTTTAGTTGATTTGGAAACTTCAGGATTTGTCCTTCATTGCGTTGTGAGTTGTCCTTTAATTTGACCTTTTGTTTGGTCATTATTCTATTCTCTCTGGTATGTTCCTAATTTCGGGGATGAAATTCCCTTAAGGAGGGTAGGTTGTAACGACCCGGTAATTTGCCTCCCTTTCTTTTTTCCTGAAATTTTACGAATGAATTTTTTTCGTTTAATTTTCTTTTCTGAGCTCTGTTTCGTGTCGCTTAGTGTTATCTCGAGTGCTTGGAATTAGTTTCTGAGACTCTTTCATGTGAATTGACAACTTCCTTTGAGGACCGAGTCATTTTCACATTTTCACTTTTCAGATACTATGCACTATTTCGTCCTTTTCCCTAATGTGTCTTTTCCCCATTTGTCACATTATTGGCACAACCTCACTTCTCATGCTCGGAGTTGGTTTTTGACTTCACATGCCTTCATCTTAAGTGGTTTCCTCGAAATACGTATCTTTACTTTCGCAAGAAGGTACTCTAGTTGCTCCCCGTACCCATAGAGGCATGGATGCACAATTCTTTAGAATCTTTTTCATTTCTTGGGGTGTTTTTGGTAAATATCTTTTGAAGGCATTTTATTTCAGGGGTATCTAAGAAAATATCTTTTGAAAGATATTTTCATTCTGGGGCAGTTTCGCAGTAAACCCTTTTGTAGGGGTCATTGTGCAATTAACGAAAGTTATTGCAAAATATCTCGTCTGGAGCCTGAATTCTCGTACGGGATTCATTTTTACATTTCGTCGAGTCGTGGACTCTTAGAATTCCGTTCTGGTCGTTTTTCTCGAGTTTCAAAGTTTCTGGACCCGGTTGCCGCCAAACTTGTTCGGGGCATAACTTTCTGCTCGGAACTCAGTTTTCGAAGCCATTTCTTCCATTATTCATATTTTCTTATTTTGACTCTTTTTCATTCACGGAGTTTTGCCGTTTTGAGCTCGTTTGCTCAAAATCCACTTTTCTAGACCCGGCAAGGCCCTTTCGGAGTACTTTTTAAGATTTCTATAAATAGGTTGCCCTAATTTTTAAAATCAGATTTTCAGACCTTCTTCTTCCTCTTGGCTGGAAGCCATGGGAGCCCAAGGGGCTGCCTTCACTCTTTCTTCTCCTCCACTTGATTTCCTTGGTAGAAATCATTCGGCCTTAGCATTTGTTGTTCCCCTCGTTGTGCTCTACCTTTCCCCCTTATTAGAATTCACATTTCTTGAGTTTGGGCTTGAGGTCAAGTTGTGATTTTCATGGGGCTTCTTGGGTATTCATGTAGATCGTGTTGTCCCCGACAAAACCCTTCGATTTCGGCAGATTCGGAACACTTTTCTTTCGGTGGGGATTTGAGATTTCCATCTCAAATTGAGGTAGGGGTGTTATAATTTACTTTCTTGCTATATTACATGCTTGTGATACTTATACAACTTGATTACATGCTTGAATCACAAAATCTAGAGATTTTATTATTTATTTTTCTTGTGAAGGATTTAATTTTCCCGGTTGTCCATACCTTTGTTTAATCATGTGGCATGATAGAATATTACCCCTTGATATGTAGATTGACATATATTAAATCTAGATTATTTAGACAAGTAATGGAGATTTTATTTAATATTTATCTTGAATAAAATATTAAATCATGTGGCCTTATCTAGCTTTAAATCAACATGTGATAGCATATTATATTAGGCTTTAGCATGCTCTTCAACATAGATTAATTTGAGTGTAATCGGAGAAATTTTGAAATCTAGTAATATTTAATTAATTAGATTAATTAAATTGCTCCAAGTGTACTATTCATCCCGTTGGATTTCCGACTTGAAATTCTTGATATGCATGTCATATAGTTTCACATTTATTAAATCTAGAATATTTGATTAGGTTTTGAAACCTTTCAATTATTATTTTTCTAGTATTAAAGTTTAATACTCGTGGCCGTACCTTGCATGAAATGTACTTGTACCGTGTTCTTAAATCAAGTTGTGACATGTTGTATAACATATATTAAATTGAGGTCATTTGGATGACTTTCAAAATCTAGAGATTTTAATTAAATGAAATAATTAAAATCCATTTAATGGTTCTATGCACTTGATTAAGTTTCTAACCTTGTATTCATAATTTTCTTGATAAGTTCCTTCATGTATATTACTTTGAGCATAATCGGATAAGTTTTGAAACTTACATTTATTTATTTCCCTTGTATGGAACTTGACTCACATGGTTGTGTCGTGTATGAAATGAACTTGAAACTTGACATTGAACTTGGCCTTAACATGATTCTTGACATAACCTGTTCGTAGAACATTTGGACTTGCCATGTAACCTTGATAATTTAATCCCTTAAGTTGATTAAATTTCATTTTATGTCTCCCTCGAGTTAATCATGCCTTGATATCATGTATCTAGACTTCTTGTATCTTGGTTTCATTAATGTGCTTAATGAACATGCTCATTTGTTTCGGAATGGTTTATTCACACATGTGTTGTTTAGTATACAATTGAATCATGTATCTTATACTTATGGTATATTTGCTTCGATGGATTCCATGTGTTATTTATCTTGGTTGTGGTCTATATAAATGCACACATTGATTTCTTGACATTTTACACGCCATTATAGTTAAGAACTTAGGGCATGACTTGTGTGTTCCAAAATCTTGGTTGTGCATGATATGTGGTTAATGCATTTCTTGTATTTTGATACAATCTTGACTTGCACAACTTGTTGATTTTGGGACTTGGGATATCAATCAAGAATTGACATGGCTAGGACTCGGTTCTAGTACGGGGGAATGTCCCTCTACATTATAGTGCGCACTAGGGGAAAGGTACCCATGGGTTAGTAGCTCTAAAGTGATCTCAAGAGTACGGTTTTAATCTGGGCGATATCCAAGTTTCCATATTGGTTGATTTCAATCTGTAAATTTCAAGTTGCTATTCCTTGAAGATTTAAACTTGTCGTGTATGTAAAATGCACCAATCTTGTCTCATTGCATTGATTTTATGCTTTATTCGTGATTTAACTCCTTAAATTTTAAGTGTTGTATTCCTTGAAGATTTAAGACTCTTTTTGTGTTATGTGGTAGATTCTACCTATATTTAAATGCATAGATATTATGCCTTGCTCCTGACTCCATATATCTTCCTTTTCGTGTTTTATGGAATATCCCATCTTTGTTTAATTGCGTAGATATTATGCATTATCCTTGATGTCATATGTAACTCTTTTCGTGTTATGTGAATGGTTCCAACTTTGTCTAATAACATAGATATTATGCCATGTTCTTGATTTCGTGTATTAACCCTATCGTGTTAATTGGAATGCTCCAATCATGTTAATTGTATTGATAATGAAATTCATGTTAATCTTTGTTTAAGTATCATTCTTATCGTGTTCTTGGATTATTCCAACCTTGATTTGTTTCATATATGTATATATATCATGATTCTTATTGCTTATACTCCATGATAGCTTATGATGATCCCTGAGTCTAATCTTTGACATAGATGTTAGGTAGCATGATCCCTTTTGAAATATATCATGTTAGTCCTAAAAATCTCTAAAGAAATCGAGTCGATGCATGCTCATTCTCTACAAGTAAACTTGTTTACTCACCCCGAAGTTATTGGGGATTTTGATTAGGTATGAAGACATGGTTCGTGATGCTTGTTGTTCGTTGGGATGGTTTCTAGCTTTTCAGTTTCTATTTCATGCAAATGTTAGTATGGAATATCATTTTATAGCCTTTTGTATAAAACTTGTATTATGTGCTTAAGCACACTTTTTGAAATTCATTTTATGCATATAATTTGTGGCCAAGGGCCAAACTTTATTTGAAATCTATGAATATTCATGAATGTTGAATTTTGCCTTTAATGAGAAAAGTATGAAAATTAGGGTTTTGATATGTCATTTTCGCACCGGTGTGTGCATTGTGTATGTAATTCATGTTTTAGCATTCATTTGCCATATGTGAGGTGTGGCCAAGGGCCAAACACCATTTAGTTTTCATTTTTGCATTTTAGTTCACATATTG